TCCCCTGTAGCAAAGGAGGCAGTTACAGGCTTAGAGTATATCTTTTTGTTTCTTATAAAGTTGATTAAACTTTTAAGATAATCATTTTTTTTCTTTTCCCATTTTGCTTTTTATCTGTGAATTGTAATACCACTCTACTGTGTTTATTTATATATTTTTTTCCCAGTGCTGGTGATTCATATTTAGGACTTAGCACTTGCTAGGCTAGTGCTGTACCATTAACACCCCTAGCCTTACTTGTAACTTTAGACTTCAAATTCTTGGGCTGGGGATGTCCTAAGTTGTAGGAAAACTTCCCTAGTGGGAATGAGGCTGTGGGTTCAACCACCAGCACCACACACAAAAATCCATTTTAATCATTGTTAACTCTGCTATCTGGTGTTGTTTTATCATTCAATAACAATCTGAGGTAGATGTTTAATTATGACGATACTAAGATACAAGTTATTTAAAGTTAGATGTATATATATATATATATATATATATGTATATATTATATGCTCCTAGAAATCAAAGATTGAATTTTCTAATTAATTGTATCTTTTTGGTTTGCTCTAACAAATACCTTGGACTGGGTAATTTATAAACAACAGAAATGCCCTGCCTTCACTTCTGAAGGCTGGGGATTCTAGTATCAAGGCACTGGCAAATTTGGTGACTGGAAAAGGCCTCTTCATAGATGACACTTTCAAGGTATGTGTTCTTGTGGGAGAAGTAACAACAAACTCCCTCAGGCCTCTCTTCTAAGGCACTTAGCATTTTTGCAGATCCTGCCGTTATGACCTAGTTACTTCCTAAAGGCTGCATCTGAATATTAACACATTGGAGATTTCCACATAAAGATTTTGGATGGACACATTTAGCTCATGGCATATTCCTTTCAGCACATAATTTATTGCGCGTGCACGTCTGTGTGTGTGTGTGTGTGTGTGTGTGTGTGTGTGTGTGTGTGTTGTTGGAATTGAACCGAGGACTGTCTCACCAAGGTGTGTCTCCATCCCTTTTTAGTTTTTGAGATAAGGTCTTACTAGGTTGCTAAGTCACCCAGGGTGGGTTTGAACTTGTTGTCCTCCTGCATTAACTTCCCAGAGTAGAGGTATTGCTGGCATGCTCCACCATGCTCAGCTAATTGATACTCTTAAGGTTTACGTTTTGCTTACATTTTGAATGAATAAGTGAAATGCTCTGGTATACTAATAGCTAATTTTTTATTGGTACATTTTAGATATACATATGGATAATATTCATTATAGGGAATTTGTGCCTGTACATCATCTATTTCTTCTCCTTTCCCACTCCCCTTTCCTCCCTTCAACTCCTCTTCCCTCCTTATTTATAAAAGCTTTGTTTCCATTTTTCTTGTATTCTTTTTGTCTTGTCCTTTGCTTTCTCCTTCTCCCCTCTCTTATTCTGCTCATTTGAACATTTTCTTCTCATTTCTGATACTTATTACACATTTTTAGTTTCTCACACCAGAAAAACAGTATGTATTTAAATATATGTGTCTGATTTATTTTACTTAAGAATATGATCTCAGGATGGATCTATTTAGCTAGAAATGTCTCAAGCTGCTGACCCTAATTCTTTTGATATATTTAAGTTCAATTTGTAGCTCAAGTCAAACTTTCCACTCTTTGAGGACAATTTATTAGTCAGTTTTATTCATCATATTTAAGAGTTGCTATGTATCATATTGTGGCTGTAATCTACATTTTCCACTACTTGGTATATTTTATGCTGTTTGACATTTTATTTACTTGAGTAGCTTATTTATCAAAATCTCTAGGTAACCTAGCCAAATCTGAAATGTTAAAAGTTTTTGAATCTTTCCAAGGAAAAAAATTTAAATATTCTTCCATAGTGATGAAATGATTAGATTGAATCAAAGAACAACCCTGTCAGGCATAGTACTAATCACTATTTTAGAGGCAAGCAGGTTTAAAGTACATATTACATATATTGTGTTCATGGTAGAGTGCCTACTCGGTTAAAAGAGGACAGCTTCCTGGGACTGGGGATTTAGCTCAGCGGCATAAGCACCTGCCTTGCAAGCAGGCAGTGGCGAGTTTGATCCCTGGTACCAGTAAAAATGAAAAAGATGAAAAAAAAAAAAAAAAAAGAGGACAGCTTCCTTGAAAAGGAAGGCATTCTTCAGGTCTGATTGGTTTTTATAAGAAACTTGAACTTGACAGGTCCAAAACTGATTTTAATCTCCGTTTCCTCTAGCCTCACTTAAACAGAGATCAGGTACCTATCCCCTCCTCTGCTTATATTTCTTTCATGTTTAATACCCCACACCAACTGTGCAGACTAATATCCTGGGGTCACATTTTTTCTTTCACTTCCCACATCCAGTTATCCCCAAATCCAGTTTATTGAGCATCCTTATTAAATCCTTTGATTCTTCCAGTCGTTTATTAATCATGTCTCAACTTTTTTTCCCCTAGTAGTTTGTCTGACTTCCTGATCTTTGTTTCAGGCCCGACTTCTCTAGTATATCTGTACTACTCTAAGGATTTTTTGTTTTTTTTAGTTAAAAAAAAGTGTGTTATTTTTTGTTGAAATATTAGAAAATACAGATTAGTTAAAGAAAAGTCACTACCCTGAGATCTCTGGAGAGTGATCATTTTACAGTATTTTGATTTGTGTTTTTTCCTCCTATTTAGATACTATATTTACCATTGAAAACACAATCCCTTGTAGAGGGAGTAATCCTATATTCTGGATCTGGTTGATCTCTTTTGGTATTTTAGAAGTCATTTCTCCCCTTCCTCTCTCCTTGATATCCTTCCCCATCAGTATTTGCATTTTCTTAAGTTTATCCTTTTTTGGGGCTGGGGATTTAAGTCAGTGCCTGCCTGGCAAGCACGAGGTCATCAAGTTCAATCCCTGTACAAGAAAAAAAGAAAAAAAAAGCCAGATAGTTTATCCTTTTTTTGGTACAGTGCTGGAGATTGAACACAGGGACCTTTGCTACATCCCCAATCCTTTTTATTGTTTTATTTTGAGACAAGATTTTAAATTGTATGGGCTGGGATTAAATTTGTCATCTTCTTGCCACAATCTTCCCAGTATCTAGGATTATAGGTGGTGGCCACTGTGCCTGGCAAGTTTCTACTTAAGAAACACCTTCGCTACCAAAGAGTGAGCCAGGCATGGTGGTGAATGCCTGTAATCCCAGCCCTCTGGAGGCTAAGGCAGGAGGCTCACGAGGATTGATCTGAGTTCCAGGCCAGTCTGGGCTACATAATGAGTTCAAAGCCAGCTTGAACTACATACGGAGACCCTGTCTCAAAAACAAACAAATAAAGTGACCTAAAGAAACGCTTACTTGCTTAAGGAATAAAAATTGCCATTAGCCTTGAAAGCTTGGGCATGTGTTATCTCTTCCCCACTGTAAATTGCTGCCCTTTATGTTTGTTAACCTTTAATTTTCTTTATAGATTTACTTTGAATGATGCATTTTCTGTGTTTTGAGTTTGAACATCAAATCATACTGGTGTTCTTTTGGATGGCTTGTTTAGTAACCTTTTAGGGTTAATTCATCTTGATGGATATAGCAGTGCGTGTGTGTGTGTGTGTGTGTGTGTGGCGGGGTGCTGTTTGACATAGTCTTCTTTACCCTGAACAATAGTGATCCTGGGAATAGCTATAAACTTATTTAAAGGTGCCATAAATTGAAAATACCTTGGAACTTTGCTATTATATTCACTGTCCACAAAAAGCAGAAACCAGTTTCTTTTTTAAAGTTTTTTACTTTTTTGGTACCAAGGATCAAACTCATGCCCTTGTGCTTACTAGGCAAGTGCTTATGCCACCATCCTAAATCCCCTGCCCCCAGAAACCAGTTTTTAAGAAAAGAACTCTTGCTGGGGATATAGCTCAGTGGCATAAGGGCCTGCCTGGCAAACGTAAGGTCCTGAGTCTATTACTAGTACCAAAACAGCAACAGCAACAAGGAGAAGAAAGAGCTGTTGCTTTCTGAGTAAATAAGCATGCTTATTTCATTACTCCTATAGTTATAATCTTAGAATCCCTATATTCTTGCATGCAATAATGGTTATTTATTATTTGGGGCTGAACTCACAGCTTTGCATTATGTCACTGAGTCCACCCCAGCTTCACCCTAGTTATTTTAATTTATGAGTTTCAAAGTACAAAACCACTTTAGGTTATCTATGCGGAAAAGTAATTTTACATATCCCAGGTCCTGATATGTTATATTCCAGTGATGGTGAACTTTTTAGAGCTTTCAGTGATAACAAATTGTACTCTACAGTGTGTATGCTTTAGGTTTGCCACCGTGGTGATACTGTGATGTTTTACAATAAATAAATCATAACAATACCCTTGAAATATTAAACTATGTATGAATGACTAGCTAAGAAAATAAATATGGCTGTTAGAATATAGATTTAAATTATTTTTTACAACTTGAAAAAGGCTTTAGCATAAAGGATTATTTTTTATTTACAGTTTCTGTGGAAAGCTTCTGTGTCTGAAGTGACACATTCTTTCAGCACTGTGGTTTTTATGTTTGGAAAACAACAATTGAAACACTGGTAAAACTTTTAATCACATCTAATCTAGACTATTCATACTTTATGATATATAGGGCAGCTCTAAAGTCTGAAAGAAGTGGATGTTTTGTAAGTAACTGTCTACTCATCAAACCTACTTGACAGCATAAGTATTGCAAGAGTCTGACATTAGATTGTACATTATAGGGCAGACCATTTAAATTTTTTTTTTTTAGACCATTTAATTTTTAAAAATCATACCAGGAATTGAAGTCAGGCCCTTGTGCTTGCCAAGTAGGTGCTTGTGCTGCTGAGCTATATCCCCGGCAGACCATTTAAATTTTGAGAATTAGGAATAAAAGATATAGGGAGCTTGTAAAACAAAAATATTTGGAACAAACTCCATCAGATTAAGACTGTATAACTAGAAAATACTTTGTTAAAAATTAAAAAATACAAGTTAACTATGATCTTTTTTAGAAACGACTACAGAAAGAACTGTTGGCATTGCAAAATGATCCACCTCCTGGGATGACTTTAAATGAAAAGAGTGTTCAAAATTCAATCACACAGTAAGTATTTAGTTTTTAAAATGCTTCTTTATTGCTGGTGTGTATATATCTATACATATATATGTATAAATGCATACACATCGGCATATATATGCAGATCTAATTTTGTGCACTTATGCACAGTACATACTAATTTTGTTTTGCTTAATTATATCATATGGATTGTTGTACAATTTATAAAACTTCTGTTTTGAGATTGAGTCTAGGGCCTTGCACATGTTAGGCAAACTCTATGAGTGTTAGTAAGATGTTTTTAATATTTCGTGTTTAAAAAAAGAGGACAGCATTAAAAACTTTTATATTTGGCATATACTTAGGATTTGTTAGGACCTAGATCCAATCCACACACCAAAATCAAAGCAAGCTAAAAAAATCTTTAAAAAAAAAATGAATACTGTATCCCTTGACTTACCTCTTTACCCCTCTAAGAAAGGAACAGAGATACAGAAAAATAGTTGACTTATAACTATGCTCATTTTAGTACTAAGGAATTTAAGAATATTTTGCAAGCATTATTACCGTTAGTAATAGAGTTTATCTAAGTAGTGCAGTTAAATGGCTTACAGTGAGTTATATAGTCTATAGTCAACACATAAGGCAAAAATTTTGTATAATTATCTTTGAAAATCCCTTAGAAGGCTGTGCTGGTGTTTATCTTTTCTTAATGGACTCAGATTCATTTTTCCTGTAAAGTAAAATGATAACTATCTTTGATTAAGAGACAAGATACATGAAAAAAATGCCAAATTCTAATTTTAAACATTAGAATGGCAGAGTAATAGGATGACTGTTCACAGCATTATTCTTTTTTATTTTTATTCTTTGTGGTAATGAGGATTGAAGTCAGAACCTTGTTCCTGCTAGGCAAGCACTCTACCACTTAGCAATATTCCCAACCCCCTGCAGAGTAATAAGTACTCAACAGAAATATAAGAACCGAGACTGAGATAGTAGCTTGTTCATATTTCTTGTTTGGTTTGAATATACATATATAATTTAAGTTCGCACATAATAAAACTTCTAGATTCCCACTTTAAGCATCACTGATGTAGGAAATTGTAAAATGATTAGAATGAAATTTATTTAAAAAACTTTTTTACCTCTGGTTCTGGAGATTGAACTCCTGACCTCATGCTTGCCAGGCAGGCACTTGTCACTGAGCTAAATCCCTGGCCCAGAAAAATAAACTTTTTAACAGTGATTATCTGCATGTGATTTTTATTTTAATTTTTTGAATTTCTTTTTTACAATGAACATACCATTTTTCAATTGAATATTTTAAAAATTAATATGCAGTGTTAAATATTATGACTTTTAGCCATTGTATGCAGATTTGACATGACAAAGGACATATTTACTTAGCTACTGTGTGAAAATTTTGCTTGTATAGATCGCAGATAAATTTATAGTAGGTTGTGTATCTTAGAAATTGCTGTATACACAGAATGAAAGAGCACAAGAGTCCTCTGACTTTTCTGCCTAGTGAAAGTGAGTGGCAGGTTTGTAGGGAGTGAGATACAGACAATTTTGAAGGCTAAGAAGCTCCTATATTAAAAAGAGAATAGAGATTATATTTTTTGCCGTGCTGGAGACAGTATATAGGACCTTATGCAAGCATTCTACTGCTGGGCTATACCAGTAAGAAGTTTTTTGTTTTGACAGTTTTTGCATTGTAATTGATTTAGTGTGTGCCAGTTCTGACCTTAGGAATGTTCTGGGTTTTTTGTATAAGTAGTGTTACCTGTCCAACACTGAGGTGATATGTGAATATCTATTTTACAGTTGAGGTATTCAGCGTGCATTTTGAAAGCAGTCATGCTCTTAAGGATCTGTGTGCTTTAGCTGATTTCTTGGAAGAGGCACTTAATTTTTGTGGTACTGGAATTAGAACCAAGGACCTTGCATCATCTAATACTCGATACCAACTGAGCTGTATCCCCTAACTCACATTTACTATTTTATACAATCATAAGAGTACACCATGATGACTAAAATTCTAATACTGTGTTTTAGTTTGTTTTCCTGAATTTTAAGTAAGAAAGTTTAATATTTGAAAAGTATAAAGGTAAAAGAATTGATTTAACTGCAATAAATTACACATAAAAGACCTGTAATTAGGAGCTCATTCTTACCTGCCATAAGGTTAAATTTCATGATAGGAAGTATAAAATGATTATCTAAAACCCATATTTATTTTTAGGAGTATTTTTATTATTTACATGAATTTTATATTATAAAATTTTTACTTAATAAGAAAATACCAGTAAAATAAAGTATGAAATTATTAATATGTAGTTGACTTCTTTGAATCCAAAGAAGTGTCAAGTCATCACCAGTAGTCAAATCACTTGATGAATGACTTTGAACCTCCTCTCAAAGTTGTAAAAACAGTTTTTCATGTGATATGGTACTGAATGAAGTGGGCTAATTGTATGCAAAAATAAAAGAAAACATTTAATTAAAAAAAAATTCTAAATAGGGGCTGGGGATTTAGCTCAGCGGCATAAGCGCCTGCCTTGCAAGCAGGCAGTCATGAGTTTGATCCCTGGTACCGATAAAAAAACGAAAAAAACAACAACAAAAAAATTCTAAATGCGCACAAATATAACATGGAGCATAAAGTGAGTAAAATTCACACATTGAGAATTTGATATGTGTGAATACAACTTATTTGTCAACCAAGTGGGTGAACACAAAGATTGCTTCCTGGATTCCCTTACATACATCAGGCATCTGTAATGCAAAAATAAGTATTTTCAGCTGGGCATGGTAGTGTGCCCCTATAATCCCAGCACTGTAATTCTAGCACGTGAGAGGCTGAGGCAGGAGGATTGCTGCAAGTTTGAGGTCAGCCTGGGCTACAAAATGAGTCAAAGGCCAGCCTGAACCGTGTAACAAAACTGTCTCAAAAAGACCAGAAAAAAAATATTTTTTATTTTTTTTGGTATCAGGAATTGAACTCATGATGTTGCACTTGCCAGGTAGGCACTTGTGCCGCTGAGCTATATCCTCAACCCCATAAAATTTAAAAATTAAAAATCTGATGTACAGTTATGAACTGGATATATTTTACTTAACCTTTTGCACTTAATGATTTCAGTTTATTCTTTGTTCTAAATGCATCTCTGTACCATCTTTGTCATATTTATCCTCTCCTTTTAAAGAAAATAACAAGGAATAGTGTATGGAATATGATTCAAAACATACTTATATTTGTGATGGTTATAAATGAAAACAAAGTAAGATACAATACAAATCTTTTTGGGTTTTATTAACGTGTTCATGACAAGGCTGTACATGTATGACTGACTCACCAGGCAGCTTGTGTCATTTGATGGGACTATCCCATGCTCCCTGATGGGACAGTCATACATTTGGTAGTTCAAGCCAGTGGGAATGTGTTAAGTAATTGAAATAGTAAGAGGTAAAGAAAACATAGTATAGAACCTTGCTTTTAGCCATCAGAGGAAATGGATTGAGTAAGTTAGGGCAAATTAGCCTCTCTGTTTAGTCTTTTTAAAAATACAGTACCCATGAGAAAACAGATCTGACAGCCACAATTCATAGTCTCTTTTGCTGGTTGTGGTGGTGCATACCTGTGATCCTAGCACTCAGGAGGCTGAGGCAGGAGGATTTCTGTGAACTGGAGGCCAGCAAGACTTGTTCTCAAAAAACAAAACAAAATTTAAAAAATTGTATCTTTATAGTTTTTCTCTTCATTACTTCTAACATTGACATTAGAAAGATAGTTGATTAATTTGATACTGTCCATAAAGTTTTCAATCACCATAGAAATAATCTTTTGAAAAAAATCAAGAACATAAATCTGGTAGGAAGAATGTAGTGTATACTTCGCCAACACAACTGAATTTGGTTTTTTATTTTGTTGGTTTGTCTTTTCAGACCAGGGTTAAAATTTTGCTCTGTCTTTTGCTAGCTCTCTGATCTTGGTCTAGTTGTTAAGCTACAGAGAAAATGAGATGGGGATTGAACAGAGGGCATTAAAAATCTACTCTTGAGAGTTGCTGGGAGGATGAAGTGCATGTTATGCATATAAGACTCTAGTCTGAGTGTTTGGCATCTCAGTGGTTCTTTTTTTCTTTTTACCCTACTTCATTTTATCTTAAGTTTTATATTTGTTTTTTTCTCTTCTAGGTGGATTGTAGACATGGAAGGTGCACCAGGTACCTTATATGAAGGAGAAAAATTTCAGCTTCTATTTAAATTTAGTAGTCGATATCCTTTTGATTCTCCTCAGGTAATTACTTCGTTTTTAAATTTTTGTTGTATTTTTAGACTAATGCAAAATGCCAAGTTAGTGATTTCTGACTAAATAAAAACATATTAAAAATTCATTATAAGTATGTGGATGAGTTTGTTCTTTCATTATCTTATATATAATATAATCAAGATCATATAAACATTTAACTTTATTGGCACTAGGGCTTTGCTCTCATGTGTTTTCAAGAACTTTACATTGTTTCTTACCCATAGATTTATAGCTGAGAAAGGTATAAAATTCTAACCAGAACTCTTGAGTTGTAGAAGTTAGCACTTTTGAGTAACTATAGGTATATTTCTTTCCTGACCAGGTGATTGAATGACATGGTAAAAAGGCTAGCTGGGTTGGAAACAGTGTGACTTTGACTGTAGATAGATCTACTGTCTTTGTGGCCTTATAATACTGTGAGGTCAGATGCTGAACACTAGACATCAGTCCAAAATGTAGTCACTGTAATTGGAGGCACACGAGTTAAGTCAGTGTCTTAATACACAGACAGAGGATAACAATGGTAGAGGAACATTTTTTTAAAGCTATTCAACTGTAGTAAATGATTAATAGTAGGCCAGAGAAAGGGAGATTCTAGGATGATTTCCAGGTTCCTGGCTTGGTAGGATGGCTGAGTAAGTTACAAGAATTACTTACTCTTTAGAGAATTATTATAATAAAGTGCTTTATTTTAAAATTTGAGATTTGTAAGCTCTGTGGGGTAAAATGATAAGACTTAATGCCAGCTCTATTTGCTAACCATTGAGGTGTTCTGGAAAATGAACCAAATACTTGAAGTAGTTTCCAGATATCTGAAACTTATATACCAAACACAGCTTGATCTTTTTTTGGTCACGTAAAGTGAATGTGTCGGAAGTCAGTAACTATATTGTGCAATAAAGGAAATAGTTTAAGGCTTGGGATTAAATGCATAGATTCCTTGAGTTCTACAGTTTTCATGTGAGCAGAAAGTTTTTGACGTTCATTTTTATCATTTTATAAAAATTGAAAATGAAGGGATATATATTGCCATGACCCACCTTTGTGTACCTGTAATAAGCATCTTTAAAACTAATCAAAGCCAAAGGAAATACGTTCCTTCCCTGTAAACAGTAATCCTTACTTTCTCTTGTCTTCTGATATGCTTCCCATTGTTTTGCTCAATCAACCTTTTCTACATTATTTCAGCAAGAATGTAACATGTCGACTTACACTTTTTTCTCCTCACTTGTCACAGTTTTTCAAATCCTTCTGCAGTGCATAAGCTAGCCTGTTCCTTATCTTAGTATCAATGTTGTAGCCTCAAGTTTTTGTTGGACTATTATTATTATTTTTTGTCTTTTTCCTTTTTATTGGTACCGGGGATCAAACTCAAGACTGCCTGCTTGCAAGGCAGGCGCTTATGCCACTGAGCTAAATCCCCAGCCCTTGTTGGACTATTATTGAACCTCTTGTTGTTTCTGCTGTACATACTTTCACATAATTATGTCATTGATTTTTACATACACATATGCATCACCCCTACAAGAACCCTGCACTCCAGGCTGTTCCCCTTCCTTGACAGTGCCCTGTGAGTGTGTGTCTCCCCCGCTCTGCCCCCACCTAGAATTAAACTCCGGGCATTTGTACTGAGCTGTATCCCCAGCTGTTTTTTATTTTGAGACAGGATCTTGCTAAATTGTTAGTTTTTCTAAATTGGACTTGAGTTCTGAACCTCTTGCCTCAGCCTTCCAGATTTTTGGAACTGTAGGCACATACTACCACACCTAGCTAATAAAATCCACCCCCCCTCTTTTGTGATACTAGAGATTGAACCCAGGACCTTTGCGCTGTGCTAGCTCCCTGCCCTTTTAAAAGTGTATGTGTGAATGTATGTGTTTAGAGATAAGGTCTTACTAAGTCCCCAAGTTGCCAAGATGGCTTGAATTTGGGATCTTTCTGCCTCAGCCTGCTAGAGTGCTGGGATTGAAGACATGTGCCATGACATTTGAGTTTAATGGTTATTTCCTGTGTTGTTTAGCTTGACACTCAAATTCCTTTATGTTAGAAATTTCTCTCCCTATTCATGCATGCTATATAGTAGTAGTTATAGCATCTTGCATAATTTAGCTTTCATTCTGGTTTTATCATCTAACATCTCTTAATGCAGTGAGTAGAAAGTGATTAAGGGAGATAAATTTAGCCTTTTTTTTTGAAATGAAAAAATGAAAACTTGTAAAAGTAACATATTTTGTTTATGGTTCAATAGCTAATTACGTAACAGTCAAGAGTCATACCTAAGTCTTTTCTCTCCCTTATTGCCACCTAAGTGTAAATACCAGCATGAGAAAAGTACCTCTTTATCTTTACAGTAATTTTTTCTTACAAAGTGAAAGATCATTTGTGGACTGATTATATGTGAAATATGCAAAGCTCTAGAACAGTTGTTCCCATTCTTCTGAAACAAAAGGATTCCTTTTTTTGGGATTAATTCCGTCCTTCCTCGCCGCCTTAGTTTCAGTAACATTTAATAGATTTTTTTGACTAAGATTTAATTGTTTTTTGGACTATTTTTTGTGGTCCTTGCCAGACATTAGTTGTATATTCTAAAGTCTGTTGAAAATGACAACTACTTGAGATGTGATGTTTTAAAATTGTTTTAAAATTATTTTTGAAATGTTATTAGCCACATTCACATGGTTTAAAAATAAGTATAATGGGTTCAACACTCTATGCTTGAACTGCATATAGATTGCAAGCTTTTTCCATCAATGAAACTTCTAGAGTTTCTGGGAAATGATTGGAGTCACTCTTTTGGCCAGTAAGATTCCTTGTTCATTAAAGACTTCAGTAAAACTCTGAAGCATTGGTACTTGTCAGATCAGCTACTCTTTATTCCTCCTATAGAATAAACAATACTTGTAACTACTTATAAGAATAAACTTTGAGGACCGAGAATGTTGCTCCATGGTAGAAGTAGTACTTCCTAGCATCCAAGGCTGCATCATATTTTCCTGAAAATAGGTGCAATAGGATTTATTTTCAGGGGATTTCTTGTTTTCTCATGTACAAAAGTCTATGTTTATTCCTGAACAATAATCTACATTTATTTATATACATTTATGTCACCTTCTGGGATATTGTTAACTCTGCAAACTCCAAATTCTGCCTTGAATTTCTTGCAACCCCATTTACTGTAAAAGCAATTGGTCCCAATCTGTTATGTCCAGCATCAGAGCTTTTTTCACATGAGCACTTCTTGTCCATATAGCCTGCTTGTAGTGCATTGGCTTACAGAGCTGTCAGTAATTTTATCTTATGAATTCTCCCAAGACATGGAGTCTTACAGGCTAATCTTCGTAAAGTTTCCATTAAATTGAGTATTAATTGAAGACTTACGAGAGATCAGAGTAGCAACAAAAATGGTAACAGTTAAGAATGATGGTCTGCCAGGCATAGTGATGTATGCCTATAATCTTCCCACTTAGGAGGCTGAGGTAGGAAAATTGCTGTGAGTTTGAGGCCAGCCTGGGCTATAGAGTTCAAGGTCAGCTTAAACTATGTAACCAGACCCAGTCTCAAAAAACCAAAAAAAAGAAAAAAGCCAGAATGATGATGATCCACATGAAAGCAATGGAAAATTGCAGGCACTAACATTCAGAAAACATTTCTTTCTTTTATGTGAGCACGTGCAGTACATCTGTTACAACACATGGTGTACTACTAAGATTCATGAGTCACAACCATATCCATTCATTATCAAGTACACGTTATTCGTATATTATTTCTACCCTGATTGGTCATTTGACACTAAAGCTTGAGTCTATCTATTTACATAGACATTTACCTCTTGTCCAAAGGCATCCACTTGGGTATTTACAAATAATTACAATTTGTTATTTAAATATTAATGTTCATAGTCACTTATATTCAATTATATATTTTATGATTCAGCATGTCCATCATATGTTGCAGTTTAGTGCATCTGGCTGACTGATCATCTTAACTGGGGCTTAAATTTGGGGTAGGACTTGTGTTACAAACATCCTGAAAAAACATGCTTATTTGGGGGGAAATGTGGTAGGTTCAATCCCCACTACTGGGAAAAAAGAAGTCGGGGTGGGGATTTGGGAAAATCCTTGGAATATACCATATTTTTTGTGAATTACTGTAAGACCATTATATATCTTTATAGTTATTGTTTTCTCTCCATCTGTTAGGATTAATTTCTCGCATATAAGAAATGTAAAAATACAGTGCTTAAATTTAAAAATTTTTAAAAACATTAAAAGACACATTGTCATTAGTCTCCCTCAAAATACTCCTAGCTTCAAATACACTTAATCTCATCATTCTTTTAACATTTTATGAAGCAGTTCTGGAAGTGCGCTAACTTTCTTTTCTTTTTTTTTTTTTTTTTTTTTGAGGCAAATTCAGGCTGGTCCTGAACTCACTGTGTAGCCCGGGCTATCCTTGAACTCACAGTGATCCTCCTGCTTCAGCCTTCCTAGGGCTGAGATAATAGGCTTGTACCACCATGCCCAACTTGAAAGTCTTCTTTCATGAGTGTCTTTAATTGTGTTGCTGTGGCTAGCACAATGTCCTGTTACCTTTTATGGTCATTTTGAATTTAGGGAAGAGCCAGGAGTTGGATGCTGCATCTGGGGGAGAAAGGTGGAGGAGAATACAGCATAATGTTTCTATGAGCCTAGCCTGTCTTTCTATTAGTACTTGACAGCAGCATTCACCATACTTCTGAGCATATCTGATGGAAACACAAAGAGGACTTCCAGAACTGCTTCAGAAAGTGAAAAGTACCATGGGAGAACTGTGTTCAATATGAGCAGTATATTGAGGGGGATTAATAGCAATGCATCTTTTACTGTAAATAATTTTTTGTTTTTTAAATTAGTACATGTTTGCAGTACATAATGATTACTTCACTGTGGAGAGTTGATTCATGTACATAACACATCCTGATTTCTTTTTTGTTTCTTTCCCTTTCTCTT